GGGTGCGCGCAGCCCTGCAGCCCTGGCGCGGTGGGAGGCGGGGTGGAGCCCGCGGGCCGTGCTCGCCACCTCGTGGCCGCCCGTGGGACTGCGGCCTCACGAACCCGGCTCAGCCCCTTTCCCTGCGCCTCGCAGACCGCCGGCAGCTCCGCCTCGGCCAACGGCATCCACCCGCAGGACAAGGCCCACAAGCCAGAGGTGAGGGCACCGGGGGCCCCCGGGGAACCTGAGACTCCGCTGAAACCTCGGGGGCAGTGACGCGCTGTGCCCTCCTCGACTCTGCAACCTTGATTCTTTACCCTGGCACATCGTAAAGCAGTGCCTGCCTTGGGGAAGCTTCTAGACACAACCCAAGACTGTATACAAAGGAAATGCTGCCAGGAGCCCTTGTGCCCAGCTAGAACTCCGGGCTCCGGCACAGCCAGCGCCCCTGCCCCCGGGCCTTTGCACGTCCCCCCCTGCATGCGCCCCGCTCCCTCCCTGACACCCCTCTGCCCACCCGTCCCGCGAGGCTGATGAGACCCTTGCTCTCCCAGGACAAGCACTGACCCCAGGGACACTGTGGAGCCGCCGTTCACACCAGGGCCCCCCCAGGCCGCGTGGCACGCCCCCTCCAGGCAGGGGCCGGGACTGTCTCTTTGGAGACGTTGCTACAATAAGGAGCTGACCCGCGGACAGTCCCCCTCCCGGAGCCCTGGCGACCAGAGGCTTCCTAGCACAGCCTTCCGCAGCGCCGCGGGTCTTGCCGGGCACACGTCCTGGCCCTGGTGGCTTCTGGGGTTGGGGCGGCTCAGGGGACCTGGCCGGGCCCCCCTCCCCGGAGCCAGCTGCGCTGTGGCCGCCCAGTCGCCCCTACTCCTCCCTCTCCTCCCTCTCGGGCGGAGCAGGGCCCAGGGTCCCCGGCTGAGCCTGCATACAGCGGTACGAGCTCCCCTCCTGCGGCGGGGACAGCCAGGCTCTCAGATGCGCGGACCCCGCGCCGGCGCCATCGCAGGCCCGAGGGTGGCCGGCAGGGTCGGAGGCCGGACCGGC